TAGCTGGTTGTTTAGGCACCAAGTACAAACTTCGTGTCCTTATTTAACTGTGCAATTGCCATGTCTGCTGCGTCTCCGATGCAGAAAACTGTCGTGTCGTCAGCGAACATATATAGCGACCCTGATTGAACCATCGATGGTGAGTCGTTTGTAAATATGTCAAATAATGTCGGGCTTAATACAGAACCCTGGGGTAAACCAATAGTCACTGGCAACAGATCTGACCTAACCCCATTTACAACTGTGAACTGTTACCTTCCATTTAAATAGTTTCTTAACCAGTCCAGTAGTGTACCCGTAGTGCCAAAGTCTCTTCTCAACTTTATTAATAGAGTAACATGAGGTACAGTACCGAAAGCCTTCCTAAAATCAATAAACAGATTATTGATTTTCTCTCCACTTTCTTTCCCACTGTAACATCCACCGCAAGCCTCTGACACAGAGATGAATAGTTGTTTTAGAATATACTAAACGGTGAGGTAGTATGGCACAATAAGATGATTTAAATTATTTCATTCCTGCAACGGTTACAATATTGTCGGGCACAAATCATACACGCGAACTTCATGGAAACTATCACGAAAAATGTATGTGTGTGTTGGTGATCTATAATCAGCCCTTGAAACATCACTACTCACTAACCGCCTCTCGGTTAGCTCAATGGATAGAGCGCTGGACTGTTGTGCGGGAGGTCGAGGGTTCAAGTCCCGGCCGGATCAACACTCACCGGGTCTTAAAGTAATTGAGAAGAATATGCTACCTTTCTATAACATTCAAGAAATAGATATTCTAGTCCTCTCGGATAGGGACGAATAAATGGCAAGAGACGTTAATTTCCCACGCACGAGATTACTGTGTGATGGATGTCCTCCCCTGGGGTGAGATGGGTGGGAATATGAGGGCCATCTGTTAGAAAATTTGTGTAAAGTTAATATGTTACCGTTGTTAAATAAAGATGTAAAGATGTAAAAATGTAAATACTACTGGAGGACCTCAATGGGGCTAACGGTTAAAATGTTCGTCATTTTACGGCTGCAGTCGAACCTCGATTATTCGGACTCGTCGGGATCTCGGTAAATAGTCCGGATAAACGAGAGTCCGGATAATGGAAAATATGAATGTTTCTGACATAGAAATGTAAACAAAAGTACACAAGGTGAAGAAAACATCATGTGAAATCTGCACAGCCTGTATATATTTACAAATAAAACATTCAGTTCAGGTATTTACAAAGGTCTGAAATGTTCAAGCATGTTTCTTTGCTTCAAAGACTTGTAGCTTGATCACACTGCGAAGTCCATCGTTCGTCTTAGCTGCTTTAACTGCACAGGGTCAATATCGTTCTGTGATTCCATCCACGACGAGTATTTTTTGAGACATTGCACTGCCTCTTTAGTCGATACTAGTTTCTCGTCCTCGCCCTCATCTTCCTCATCGCTACGTACACTTTCGCTTTCCGTCGAATCTCCGACAACGGTGGCTAAAATCTCTTCATCAGACATTTCCGGTGAATTCGGGAGCTCGTTTTCCAGATTAAGCCAGTCTTCCACATCGCGAGCATTAGGCATTTCTTCATTGTCAAGTTGCTGTACATGCTCCAACATTTCGACCATGGACTCAGCGATATTATCCTCTCGGAATTCGGGCTGTGAATTTGACTCGATTTTGTCCGAATTGTGAAAAGCGCAACGGGATAATACGCTGTTTCAACAGTCTTTGAAAGGATTATTGGGCTTTTTGCGACTTCGAGTTTTCACGATCACAACTTATTAACATTCATGAAAAAATTGGGACTAGAGAAAAAAGTCCGGATAATCGAATAGTCCGGATAATCGAGGTTCGACTGTATTGGATAGCTTCCTTACGTTACGGTTAAGAGTGATGTTAATAATTAAACTCGATGATTTTCGAAAGTTAATAATTAATTTTCATTGTTCAGAAACACATTTACGACCGTTTCTTCACGTTTTAGGTAAATTCTGATGGAAAACAAGGAATTAAAGTACTATAAAAACTGTAATGGGTTTTAGCGACTACTTGAACAATATCCAATAAGTATAGATGTATACCTATTTAAATTATGAATTGATGAAATAACAGCCAAATAATCAACTAAATTATTATTTTCCAACTTTGTATCAAAAGAGGTAGGCGTCTGTGTTTCTTTGTTAAATCTGAAGTTTGTACCATATTAAAATTGTAAGCGAACTGGGCATATTGGCATTGAACAGTAACCATCCCGCTAGAAATCATGTCTATTCGAAGGGTGACTACACATTATCCCCCAGATATGCTAATACACGRRGRAAAWTT